AAATAAATTACAATAATCTAGCGGTCATCTGGTATTGTTAAACAACGACAATGAAAATTTTGACAACTCCTCATTCTGAGTCCATAATCAACCATACATTCAAATTGACATTGTCGACAAAAAGTAAATAACTTATCATCGACCGAAGTTTTTGGTTTTTCAACGGTTACATGTTGATTTTTTATCTGAAAATCAATCGAAGGACTTGCGGCTAGATTGGAAAATTGAGTTGTCCTATCCCAGCTAGATCTTGCCATAATATTTGATACACCTGTAAAAATTCAAAACTTATTAAATTATTAGAATCATATCTCAAATAAAACTATGAAATAGTCTACATATTATCTTTATCAATCAAAAATAAACTTACACAGTGAATCCAAAAGCAAGAGGGTTAAAACCAACACAATTTTTTTCATTTTCTTAATGAAAAAAAACAATTATATTAGAAAGATAATATATTGAATAGTTTTTGCTAATCGTTTGAATTTTTGTTTCAAAATTATTAAGGATAAGTACATCATATTTATATGTGTTCTTACTTATGTTACAAAATAGTTAATGTACTAATTAACGTTTTTTGTTATAAATGAAAAATGTATTATACAATGGGAGAGTTTTCTTTTCATTTAGAGTGTCCACATAGGCAAAAATATTATTTAAAACAATTAAGTTTAAAAATGTCTATTTAGTACACACTAATTTATATTTATTTGTCCTTATAACTAATAAAAAAATTAAATTATAATCAAACCGTGAAACAATTAATAAAAGAAAATAATAAATAATAAATTTAAGACTATAATGTTAATATTAATTTATCTTTTACCAAAATTCTAAACATTCAATTAACTTCATGTTAATATTATTTCATGATTAATTTCTAAGATATATATATATATTTCATGAAATATAAATGGCTTATTTCTAATTAAAAGGTTTTATACCTCAAATCTTCAATAAAAACAAATTCTTACATTCAATTAACTTTATTTTGTTTAACAGACATTAATTTAACTTAAAACATTACCTTAAGTTTTTTATTTTTGGGGCAATTACAAAAATATCACTTTTTGTGTGCACATTTACAAGAATGCCACTTATGGGTGTCTATTTACAAAAATGCTACTAATTGTAGATTTATAAAGCATATATCTTAAAATTCTAAANANNAAAAAATATTTTGACACCTAAAACCCCCTAAATATTCAAAATTAAACTC